TTTTGAAATTTCTTTCTTCTGAAGTGCTTTTGGATGGACTTGAATGTCTAATCTTTCGCTTAGTAGTCAAGCACATTAACTGTTTGTATTACTCAGGGACTCCACTCTCTCCATCAGCAGTGCCCAAAGGAGGGCTGGGTGCAAGGCTCGCCACATTAAAATCACTTCTCATTAAAAATGTAGTGGTGTTGTTAAGTACCGTCAAGTCGGTTTAGATTCATAGTAACCCTGTATAGGGATTCCTAGAGCAGCTGGTGGGTTTGAACTGCCAACCTTGTGGTTTATAGTCCAGTGCTGATCCTACAACCTTGTGGTTTACAGTCTAGTGCTGATCATCACACCAGGAGTCTTTCATTAAAAACATACTCCCCAAATTTAGATTTCATAGGCCAGAAGTCAAATCTGAGGGAGTTTTTTTTGTTTGTTTGTTTTTTAAGAAGCTCCCCAGATTATTTTGAAGTGAGGCAAATGTTATTAGCTTATATCACTCATCTGACAATGAATCATCCTCTGCCTAGATTTCTGGTGTATGATCCCCTTTTCTGTAATTTAATTCTCACCTTTATTTATGCAAGTCCATGGAGTCAACAAATGTTTATTTGGTGACTGGTAAGTACCAGGAACTCTTCTAAGAAACCCTGGTGGCACAGTGGGTTAAGGATGGGCTACTAACAGTTGGTGGTTCAAACCTACCAGCCATTCCTAGGGAGAAAGATGAGGCTCAGAGTTCCTACAAAGATTGACATTTTCTGAAACCCTAAGGACAGTTCCACACAGCTCTATAGGGTTGCCATGAGTCAGAACTCACTCAATGGCGGAAGGTAACCTTATATGGGAAAAGAAAGAAGCAGGACTTTGAGAGAGAAGATGGTGCCATGTGACTTCTGACTCTGAAGATCAAAGGAGACAGCCAGGAGCCAATGAATACTGGTGGCCTCTGGTGATGGTTGTGTGCCTCAGGGTCATTGCCAACTCATGAACCCTATGTAGGGTTTCTGAGGCTGTAAATCTCTACAGGAGCAGAAAGCCTCATCTTTCTCCTGCAGAGAAACTGAAACTTTGAACTGCTGACCTGGCAGTTAACAGTCCAGCTTATAACCCATTATGCTACCAGCCTCCAGGAACTAGAAAAAAGCAAAAAATAAAAAGGCAACAGATTTTCCTCTAGAACCTAAGAGTGGAATTACTGGATCATATGATAATACTGCTGGTGTGGCGCTGTAGGATCAGCAATGGGCTTTGAACCACAAGGTCAACAGTTCAAACCCACCAGCTGCCCCTTGGAGAAAAGAGCTGGCAATCTGCTCCTATAAAGATTGTAACCTCAGAAACCCTATTTGGTAGTTCTATGCAGTCATTCTGGTAGCGTAGTGGTTACGAATCAGGCTGCGAACCACAAGGTCAGCAGTTCGAAACTACCAGCTGTTCTGCCGGAGAAAGATGAGGCTTTCTGCTCTTGTAAAGATTTACAGACTCGAAAACCTTGTGCAAGGTCACTATGAGTTGGAACCAACTCTACGGTACTTAACAACAACAATGCAGTAGCTATGAGTTGGAATCAACTTGATGGTACACAATGGCTAGTGGCTTGAGCATATTTTCAAAATTAATGACGTGCTTTTTGGGCACTTGTAGTTCTTCTTTGGTAAAATATTTATTCAAAGCCTTTGCACTTTTTTCTTTATTTTATTTTATTTTTTATTGTGTTGTTTGTCTTTTGTTAAGTTGTAGGAATTCTTTATAGGAGAGGACTTCAAAAAGTTCATGGAAAAAGGACGTTAAAAGGTAATAGAATTTTTCCACAAGTTTTTGAAGTCCCCTCATATATTTTAAACCTTTAGCAGATTGGAAAACTTTTCTTACAATCTGTAGGATTCCTTAATTTGTTGATAAAATTCCTTGATGAAAGAAGTCGAATTTTGATGAACTCTAATTTATCTTTTTAAAAAAATATTTCAATATTTTTTCTTTCTTTCTTTTTTTAACTGCCTTCCCCATCACCCAAGTTAACACATGTCTACTGGTGTGGTGCTGTGGATTAATGCGCCAGACTGCAAAGCCGTTTGAACTGTAATGTCGGCGGTTCAAGCTCACCAGCTGCTCCTTGGAAACCCTATACAAGGTCGCTATGGACCGGAATCGACTTGACGGCACTTAACAACAACAACAACCCTTGTGTGTCCAAAAGTCCACAAGTCCAATGGTGTAGGATAAGCATTGGACTTCTAAATGCAAGGTTGGATGTTTAAAGCCACCAGCCTCTTTTGGAAACCATATGCAGGGTCACTATGAGTCAAAATTAATGTGATGGCAACAATGAATAAGTCTCCCTTCCCTCCCACCCTTAGTAATCACCATAGAATGTTTCTTTTATCAACAAAACCTTTCCTTGACTTTTTACAATATGGTCTCATAATATTTGTCCTTTTGTGACTAATTACACTCCATCCCGGTGTGGCACCGTAGGACAATCACTGGACTGATAATCTCAAGGTTGGCAGTTCAAACTTACCAACTACTCCTTGGAAATCCTATACAGGGTCACTATGAATCAGAACCGACTCCACAGCACTTAACAACAACTACATTCAGCATAATAGCTTCTAGGTTCATTCATGTTATGAGATGTCTCGCAGAATCACCTTATTCTTCCACGGTGCATAATATTCTAACGAACATTTAAAGTTTGTTTAACCATTTTTCTGTTGAGGGGCATTTAGACTGTCTCCATCTTTTTGTTATTGCGAATAGTGCTGTAATAATCATGGATGTGCATATTTGTGTCATATCTCTTATTTCTTGAGGCTATATACCAAGTAGAGAGCTTTCTGGGTCATACAGTATTTCTATTTTCAACTTTGTGAGAAAGAACCATACAGTTTTTCATGGTGGTTGCACCATTTTACAGTCCTACCAGCAGTGTGAGGGTCCTAGACTCTCCATAACTTTGCTAGCATTTGTTGTTTTCTGTTTGTTTGTTTTAACTTTGCTACTAATGCTTAGTTAAGATGATATCTTGCATGTCTCTAGTGGAGTCCTGGTGTGGCACTGTGGGTTAATGTGCTCGACTGCAAAGTCGGTTTGCACCACAAGGTGGGTGGCTCAAGTTCACTAGCCAGTCCTCTGAAACCATTAAGCTTGTTACAGGTTGGAACTGACTTGACAACACTTAACAACAACAGTGGCTAATGCTAGGAAGAAAGATGAAGCTTTCTCTTCCTGCAAAGAGTTAAAGCCTTGGAAACCCTGTACAGGATCACTATGAGTCTGAACCGACTAGACGGCACTTAACAACAACAATGGCTAATGATCATGAGCATGTCTTCATATGTTAGCCAGCTGTCTAAATATTTACTTCGGTGAAGTGTCTGTTCATGTCCTCACTGATTTTTTAATTGGATCATTAGTCTTCTTGTTGAAGTGTTAATTTTCCAGTTTTGCCAGCACCATTTGTTGAAGCACATATCTCTTCCCCATTTAATGTGTTTTGGTGCTTTATCAAAGATCAACTGAGCAAACAAAGGTAGATAGATTTACTTCTGGTTTCTCAATTGTGTTCCATTGGTATTTGTGTCTTTTTGTTGTATCAGTACCAGACTGTTTTGATTACTATGGCTGTTCAATAGGCTTTGAGATCAGGAAGTCAGAAGTCCCCTACTTTGTTCTTCATTTTTTGGAAATGCTTTGCTTCTCCTGGGCTTCTGGTTAATGTCAGTGATTAGTTTTTCCATCTCTCTCTTTAAAGAATGATATTGGAATCTAGATTGGGATTGGATTGTAACTATATATTGCTGTAGGTAATGTTGACATTTTCACAAACTTAAGTCTTCCTATCTATAAGTATGGTATGTTCTTCTACTTTTGTAGGTTTCTTTTAGTTTCTTGTAGTAGTGTTTTGTAGCTTTCTTTGTATAGATCTTTGGCTGCTCTGGTTAGATTGATTCCTGAGTATTTCATCTTTTGAGTGACTTTCGTAAATGGTATAATTTTCCTGAATTTCTTTTCAGAGCTCTCTTTATTGGTGTAAAGGAATCCAACTAATTTTTGTATGTTGATCTTGTACCCTGTCACCTTGCTGAATCTTTCAGTAAGTTACTATCATTTTCTTGCAGAGTCTCATTTATTGATTTTGTCTTTTGTCACTCGTGTTTTCATTGTCATATCTAAAAATACACGATTAAAAACTAGGTCCAAAAGCAATACCCTTTTGTTTCCTTCTAAGAGTGTTATGCTTTCAGTTCTTACATTTAGGTTTTTGATCCATTTTGAGTTAGCCTTTGTATATGGTGTGAGGTATGGGTCCAGGATCATACTTTTGCATGTGGAAATCCAGTTGTTTCAGCATTCTTTATTAAAGAGATTGTTCTTTCTCTGTTGGATAGCCTTAGCACCCTTGATAAAAATCCAATGGCCTTAGATGCATCATGGGTTTATTTCTGAACTCTCAACTCGATTCCTTAGGTCATATGCCTATCACTGTAATTATGCCTTAATTTTAAATGAGAAGTTTAAAGAGTAATTTAAATCTTAAATTTTAAAACAGAATGTGCCTACTATTCAGTAATAAACACATTTTAAATTACTCCCACTGCAGGTGTTTGTACAAATGAATATTCCCGTTCCCTAGCCAAGGCCTAAATATCCTGATAAGGTAGGGATATTTAGAGGATGACTCCAGAAATCTGCATTTTTTTAAACAGATGAGGAAACTGAGGTCCAGTGATGTGCCCACGGCCACCAACTAAAGAGGGTTCACCTCCACCTTTTTCCAAAAGAAGTCAGACAGCCGGGACCTCCCTTTAACACGAGAATTGCTATCAAGCCCGGGTGTGGGCGGCCTCCAGCCAGACGGGGGCGCTCTGCCCGCGGTGTCGGGGGCGGACCCGGGGCGGAGCGCGGGCGGTCAGCGGCTGGGGCTCCAGGCTCCCGGCCCTGCACCTGTGACTCTTGGGTGCTCAGCCGCAGCTCTCTCCTTCAGCTTGTCCAGCCCCCGCAGCCCCATGGCCCCGTCCCGGCTGCAGCTCGGCCTCCGCGCCGCCTACTCTGGCTTTAGCTCCGTGGCTGGCTTCTCCATCTTCCTCGTATGGACCATCGTCTACAGACAGCCGTGGACCGCGGCCATGGGGGGACTTGCAGGTACCCACTGGGGGCGCGCTGGGGCGCTCAGTCCTGGGTCCCGGCTCCCGGCCAGAGACCGGCGCAAGGGAGACATTTCCCCGGGGAGCGGGTGAGATGTTTACCCAAACAGTCCGTGAACAGCGCAGGCCTTTGTGGCCCGTGCTCCTGGGCATTCCCCTAGGTGCCTCCGGGACCCGGGCGCGTCCCTGGGGGCGCCGACGTCCTGTACTGCCTTTACGATTTGCACCAACCTGCAGCGCCATCATCTGCCTTGCGCCCCTCCTCTGAACGAAGCCGCCTGGGTTATGTCGTCTCCGCACCTTTTCTGTTGACCTCCTTCACCAATTTCTGTCTGTGCGCCCGCTTCGCTCCCCATCCCTTTACACAGCTATGTGTGAAGACCCCCTACACACGCACACACACACACACACACACACATACAGAGTTCTAGGGACCCCTGCTCCTCCATCGCTCCTTCCCCCGGGGCTAGGTGAGGGCAGCACCTTGAGGAAGAGCTGGGGCTGGCTTCCTTTGGAAGCTCATCTGCCTCCTTCAGGAGGACACTCCCCAGCCCCAGCAGAGCTCTCTACGCAGAACGAGAGAACTGCACTAGGGATCAGATGGCAACTGGAATCCTTCGCACCCACGTTGGTGTCTCATTGCCATTCCTCTGCTGTGGCTCCTCGGTTGGGGTCTGTTAAACCTTCTGATGGCCCTTTCTGTTCCTTAAGGAGGGACGGGAGGAGGCGGGAGTAAAATGGAGAGAACCAGTGCAAGCCACTGCTCCGAATTGATGGGCACCTTTAGGGGCAAGCTGTAGAATTGTTGTGAAAAACAAATCATTTTCTTTGCTAACATTGTTTTATTTTATTTTAATGCTTTCTATGTGTCAGGCAATGTTTAAGCAATTTATTTTCATTATCTTATTTAATCCTTAAACTGATTCATAACGACCCTGTACAGGGTTTCCGAGGCTGTAAATCTGTATGGGAGCAGAAAGCCTCATATTTCTCCCGCGGAACACCTGGTAGTTTCAAACTGCTGACCTTGCGGTGGTGCGCAGCCGGATTCGTAACCACTACGCTACCAGAGCTCCTTTCCACACTACTAAGTAGGCATTATTATCGTGACCACTTTATAGATGAGAAAACTGAGGCTTAGAGTAAATAAATAACTAGACTGGGTTATACAGCTTCATGAAATGTATATGTGGGAAAAGCAGTTTGGAAAAAAAAAATGCAAGTGAAGATAAAATACTTTCACATGTTGTCACCGGTGAGTCAGTTCTGTCTCATAGGGTTTTCTGAGGAGCAGTTGGTGGGTTTGAATACGGACCTTGTGGTTAGCAATCTAGTGCTTATCTTACAGCACCACACCAGGACTTCAATCCTATTGGGTTATTAACATCCTCTACCAAAAGGACCCTAAATGGACTAAAACTAACTAAACTGACTTATTGCTACCAAATTTACTGAGTTCTATTGCTGTATGGAATAAAGGTGAAGTTACTGCCTCATGAAAGGGATGTGCATGGCCATAGTCTACGCAAAGCCAAGCAATGCACTGGAAGTCAGCAAAGAAGGCTAGGTGGGGACCCTGGCTGGAGTGTCCCTGTGCCTGTTTGCAAGCTGTACCACCTGTGGGTCCTATCTTTTCTGGGGCAGCCAGTTCATTTCTGCTGTTATCTGCAGACCCCTGCTCCTTTTCCCTTTGCATTTCCACCACCCACCAAATTCTTCACGTTCTTGTTCCCTGGCAACTTTTTTTCTGCTTCCTATTGGCCTTTGCGGAGTCCTGATGTGGCGCTGTGGGTTAATGCGCCAGACTGCAAGGCCGTTTGAACTGCAAGGTCGGCAGTTCAAGCTCACCAGCCACTCCTCGGAAACCCTATGGGTCGCTATGGGTGAGAACTGACTCGACCTCAATGGTACTTCACAACAACAGTCGGCCCTGCAGGAGTCCTGGTGTGGCGCTGTGGGCTAATGCGTCAGACTGCAAAGTTGTTTGAACTGTGAGGTCAGTGGTTCAAGCTCACCAGCTGCTCCTTGGAAACCCTATACAGTGTCGCTGTGGGTTGGAATCAACTCGACAGCACTTAACAACAACAATTGGCCTTGCTAGGAGTCATTGTGGTGCCATGGATTAAGCACTGGGATTAAGCAAAGTCAGCAGTTCAAGCCCACCAGTCACTCAGAGAGAGAAAAATGAGGCTGTGTGATTTTGATTTGCAGTCATGGAAACCCTATGGAATAATTCTACTCCGCTCTACAGGCCACTATGAACTGTAATCAACTCAACAATATGGGTTTTGACTTTGGTTTTACTGGCCTTGCCGTTGTCTCATTTGGAAAGAAGTGTGTGTGGCCTGGCCCCGGTGAGATAAGGCCTGAGATACATGTGTGGCTGGGGTGAGGAAGGGAGGCTGATGGGAGGATCAGGGCTGGGTGTGTTAGAGGCTGCTCTGATGGAGGTGGCCGTGGGCACATCATCAGACCTCAGTTTCCTCCTCTGTAAGTAGTGAGAGGTGCTGCCATCCAAAGACTCCCCTCTACCAGGTCTGAAATTTTGCAGTTCTGGTGTCTATTCACCGAATCTCTCATCTCCAACTGCCTGCTATAAGGCTGTGCTCTAGCTTGAACTCCAGAGTCCCCTGGGGTTTCCCTTTGACCTATTGTCTGCCCTCTCCCTCTGAGCCTCTGAGGCTGGCCAGCTGTGGAGTCGCCTGCAGGGAGAGGCACTAGACAGCTACTAGCTGGGGCCCTGGCACCTCCCTGATAGTTCTGACTATTGATAACCAGAAGAAGGCTGTGGCAGAGCCCAAGCTCCTTAGGGCAGATGGAGGGTGGTGCTAGGCCAGGGCCATATACAATACACCCCCCTCATCCTGAGAGGCTTCTGAGAAGGTCTGTAGCCAGTGGGCCTTCTTCCTCTTTTAGGAGTGAAATGTCACCAGTTTTGCTGACTTGTGAGCACTTCACATGTGACTTAACATTTTCCAGCCCAGAAGTTGCTGAGTCATTGAAGGGCAGCCTCACGTGCTCTATTCTTCTGAGTGTGGGACCAAGCAGGGGCTGGTGAAGAAGGGTGCTGGTTCCTGGCAGTGTCAGCTGTGGAGCCCCTAGGTCTGGTGGAAGAGTGTTCATGGGTGAGGACACACTCCCTCGCCCTGGTGGCAATCTGGTAAATAGTGGTTTCAAGGGAAGACAGGGAAGAAGGGCTGCTTTTCCTGGAGAGGTGTGGATTGGGCCTCCTGCTTTGACTTGGCTTTAGGCACCACTGGGGAAACACACACAGAAATTCACTCTACATCTAAGAGACCAAGGAAGGAGAAACAGGATGCAACAGTTGCTCCAGTAGTCTAAGGCTCTGTGTTTAAGCAGCAGGTACATTGGGCCTTGCTTTCCCCAGGGATGGGCTGGAAAGTTGGGGTGGCCCTGTCTCCCACTGGTCTGTGTTTACCCTGTGGGCTTCTTACATCTAGGCCAACTGCTGGGGGCACTTTGACTAGCCCGTCCTGTGCTTTAGCTGGTCAGCTAGGAGTCGGTCCAGAGGCTCCTTGGAGTAGGCAGGTGGTATGTATGAGGAGGGAGGTCTGCCCCTGGGCATGTGGCTGATGGGCTGGGGCCTAGCCCTTCTGCCCTGAGTGGTACATCCCAGGCATGCTGTCAACTCAGAGCATCCTTCTGAAGGGTGTGGGTGAGGAGCCCCTGCCGCCTTCCATGGGTGAAGCGGGTGGGGAGGTAGCCGGTCTGCTTGTCTAGAGGTAAGGCCTGTATGCAGGGACTCTAACTGGGTTGAGGGAGGCAAGGAGTGAGTTAATGTCATCTACCTTTTCTTCCAGCTCTCAGCCTTTTATGTGTCTGTGGGTGGGTGTTTGGGGGGTATCACTGGAGCGTGGCCAGTGAACTAAAAGATAATATCTTCACAAGTCTTTATTTTAGCAGTTTGTAACCCAAAACTGCTGAGTCATAGAGGAATTGCTCTGACCTTCTTTTTCTCTTACCCTGGCTTCCAGAAGCTTCAAGTAGGAAAGGACCTTTGAGCTCATCTGATCCACTCAGGCAGAGAGCACATGGACCTGTCCCAACAGGTGCCCACCTGACTATTCTGGGATATGCCCAATGGTAATAACTCTTCTTCCTAGGGCCCTTTAAGAAATCAAAGAGCTCCTCCAGATGAAAATTTAGAATGCACAAGAGGAATGGGAAAGAATTCTGGGAAAGGCGGCCCACATGAATGATAATCCAGATTACATAAGATTGAAGTCGAGGCTATGGGATTCTTATTCTGTCCTCCTGTGGTCTGCTCGTTTTCTGCCAAGGTAGGGATGGAGAGATGCTTGTCCTGTCTCGCCCAGATCTGAGGATTGGAGGGACCCAGTTCCCTGAGGAAGATTTGGGGCGGGCAGGGGCAGAGAAGAGGGCAAGCTGTGGACCTCTGCCCTCCCTGGGAAGGAACCCTGGGTTCCCTGAGCACCCAGGCTGGCAGAGACCCTTGGGCTCACCCTTAGTATTTCCACATTTATAGATGTGTAAACACCAAGGCTCTGGGAAGTGGTGAGCAGTCCCGCCAGCACCAGGCCCCCAGCCTCAGGCTTGCAGGCTTGTGGCTCTCCCTTCATTGATTTCCAGGCCACCTGAATTATAACTGCTTCTGAGCCAGGGGAGATATGATACTCTCCTGTAGCCTCCTCCATGCCCCCCCCCCAGGAACATTTGTATATATATATATATATATAGTTGTTGTTATGTGCCGTGGAGTTGGTTCCGACTCATAGAGACCTTGTACGGGGGTTTCCGAGGCTGTAAATCTTTACGAGAGCAGAACGCCTCATCTTTCTCCCATGGAACAGCTGGTAGTTTCCAACTTTTGACCTTGCGGCTCGCAGCCCGATTTGTAACCACTACACTGCCAGAGTGCTCTCTCTCTCTCTCTCTCTCTCTCTCTCTCTCTCTCTCTCTCTCTGTATATATATATGTATACATATATATATGTATATATATATACATACATATAAAATGGAGCTCTGGTAGCGTAGTGGTTACAAATCGGGCTGCTAATCTCACGGTCAGCAGTTCGAAACTACCAGCTGTTCCATGGGAGAAAGATGAAGCTTTCTGCTCCCGTAAAGATTTACAGCCTCAGAAACCCTGTGCAGGGTCGCTATGAGTCAGAACCGACTCCATGGTACATAACAACAACAATAATATATGTGAATTTTTCCAGGCATATAAAAAAGGATAGCCAATTTAACTATCCAGCCCAGCTGCTGGGGTGCTCCCAAGCTTTTCAGTTAGGAGTCCAGAGGTCCCCCTCATACTCACTACCCAGTCTGAGAAAGACAGTATCACTGATTCAGTCACAGCACTTCCTTTCCCTCTCCCAGGCCCCTTGCCCCAGACCATGTTTATCCTCCGTGTGTGCCGCCCGGTACACGATTCGGACACAGGCACATCTGTAGGAAACACAGGAGCGTGTGCAGCGCTCTCAAAGGTCTCCTGACTACTTCTGGGGTGCCCAGGCTGGTAGTCCACACTCTGCAGGCCACCAAGCTAAGCACTACAGCTGGCTTGGTCACGTTCCTCATTCCCTCCTTGATGGGGACCCCGCAGCCCTGCTTGGGCCCTTGCCAATGGAATTGATATTTGTTCCACCCTCTGGGCTGTGCCAGCAGGCACTGCCTGGCACAAAGGGCACTCATTGTATTGGCTGAGTGGCAGCTGACATTGTAGAGGACACGTCCACCCAGGCTCTGAGGACCACCCACAGAAGGGCTCTCAGAGTGCCATGGGGTCTGGCCAAAAAGGAGCAAAAAGGAGCCCACTTGAGTCCTGGGTAGCCCTGCGGTCCTCAGATCTGGCATGTAATAGGGCTAGGCCTGTTGGTCTTGTAAGAGCAATGCTTGGAGTTCAGGAAAGAACGCTGCTGCTTGAGAGCTTAGCCACAGGCCTGGAGAGAAGTGACTGGGAGGTTCTGGTCCCTGAGGGGTGTGCAGGGAGGAGGACTGCTTCCTTACATCTCCGCCCATGGGCTAGATAATGAGGAGTCCCAGGAAAGCAGCCCCTATCTATATCTGAAAAATAGTGACACTTCAAGACCATTGTGCTTTTATGGGTTCTTTCTATTTGTAGGAGTCCTGGTGTGGTACTGAAGGATAAGCACTGGACTGCTAACCACAAAGTCAGCGTTCAAACCCACCAACCTCTCCTTGGAAACCCTGTACAGGATCGCTATGACTCGTAATAGACTCTACAGCACTTAACAACAATCAATTGGTAGTAGTCCTGGTGTGGATAAGCACTGGGCTGCTAACCACAAGGTCGTTGGTTCAAACCTACTAGCCACTCCTCGGAAACCCTATGTGGGGTTGCTATGAGGTGGAACCGACCTAATGGCCCTTAGCAACGATCTGTTGTTAAAGGACCACTGGCAGTAAAAGAACTCTGGTGACATAGTGGGGTCCGAGTTGGGCTGCTAGCTGCAAGGTCAGCAGTTTGAACCCACCAGCTGTTCTGGAAAAAGAGGAAGATTTCTGCGCACGTAAAGACTGACAGCCTTGGAAACTGTGTGTAGTATTAACTAGGAGGCCAAATTGACTCACCATAGTGGGTTTGATTTTTTGGACTTTATCTATGGATATGTACCGTGTTAGAAATGAAAACGGAGAATATTTTTAAACGTTTTGAAGTCATTTGAAAAATAATATTGTTAGCCTAAATAACACTTTTGTGAGAAATATTTATATTTTCTAAGACAAAACAATTATGGAGAACACTGGCATGATTTTGTATTTGCAAAGCTCTTTCATGTCTGCCTTCCCTGAAGGCCAGCTGGTCTCTTATCTGCTTCTGCATTCAAGTTTTGGTGGCATGTGTCATATAGCCTACAGATGATGCCCACCGAACAATCAGTCATGAGGGATGAGGGGGAAAGGCCACTGCAGAACCTGTGAGAGCCAGAATTTACACGGATGACCTTGGTTTTCCAGGTCTGGCAAGTTCTCCGCCTGTGTTAGGGTGTAGTCACCACCTTTCTCTCTTTTTAATGGATAATGCTTGTGGAAAAGTCGAATTGTTCCATGAACTTTTTGAAACACCCTTTATTGACTTTTCCTTCTCTGATAGATTTCGGCCTCCTGCTTTCCACAGGTTTGCTGTATTATTATGCAAATAGGTCAGACCTGGTAGATTGCAACCTGTGGTAGAGCCCTCCACCACAGGTCGTGGGTCACTGAGCTGCAGGAGGGATGAGGAGGGGCTGTCTGGAGGAGCGGACTCTGCAGCCCTGACCGAGCCTCTATCCCCACAGGTGTTCTTGCACTCTGGGTCCTGATGACGCACGTGATGTACATGCAGGATTACTGGAGAACCTGGCTCAAAGGGCTGCGCGGCTTCTTCTTCGTGGGCGTCCTCTTCTCAGCTGTCTCCATTGCCACCTTTTGTACCTTCCTTGTGCTGGCCATCACCCGGCACCAGAGTGAGGGCCTTTCCAGGGAGGGTATGGGAGGGCTGGCCTGCCGGGAACAGGTGCCTTAGGAGTTAACCAAAAAGCAATTGATCCTATCTCCGAATAAGTGACCCTATAGGACAGAATAGAACTGCCTCACGGGGTTTCCAAGGCTGAAATCTGGTTTGGCGCTGTAGGATAAGCACTGGACTGCTAACCACAAGGTTGGCAGTTCAAACCCACCAGACACTCCTTTAAAACCCTATACAAGATTGGTAGAGTCCATGTCACCTAACACCACTAACACCCATCTTTATGGGATTACACTGCTACAGCTTTCTCCTGAGGGGCAGCTGGTAGGTTTAAATCATCTTTCAAAGTTTAACCACTGTACCACCAATACTTTCTGACTTAGGAGGCTTGGGATTCCAGGCCTGGTTCCACAGATTTCCTCCCAGAGCCTGGGCAGATCACTTACTCGCTCATCATGAGAACGACAAAGTGAGAGTAGCCACCTCCTAGGCCTGGGATGATTGAATGAGATTTCATGTGACCTTTACCATGGTGTGTGGCAACTAGTAGCATCCTTAAGAACTACTGTACCTGTTAGACTTTCGGCCCAGCTCTGGGATCGGGGTGCCCTCTGGTGGCTGTGACCAGGAAGTAGCCCAAGGCTCTTCTCCCTACCCCTAGGAAGTCTGGTGCTAAAACAGGCTGGAGCACAGGTGGCGCTGTAGGATAAACACTGGCCTGCAACCACAAGGTTGACAGTTCAAACCCACCAGCCGCTTTGTGAGAGAGATGAGGCTTTCTGTCCCAGTAAAGCTTTACAAGGTCAGAAATTATACAAGGTCATTGTGAATTGGAATTGACTTGATGGTAGTGGGGCTAGGTTGTGTTTTATTTTTTTCCTGTTTGGTTGCCCAGCTCTGGAATGGGAGCGCCCTCTGGTGGCTGTGGCCAGGAAGTAGCCCTCTCCTTGCCCCTAGGAAGTCTACTGCTAAAACAGGCTGGGAGTGTTCCAGGATAAATGTTGCTGAGGTGTGTACAATACACACATACAATTAATCAACCCTGACCTTCCCTGATCCCTACCATCTCTGGTCCCCCTGCCTGTCTCCCTCCAAGCCTTGGGATGCTCTTAAAACCCATCACACTCAAGTATTCCTCTAGGGCTAGTTGAGCTAACGAGTGCTGCATGGATGTTGAGTGACCCTGGGCTGTGGCCTGGTAATACCATTTTGAGTCAAGGTCTGAGTCCTTTTCCTCCCACAGGCCTCACAGACCCCAACAGCTACTACCTCTCCTGTGTCTGGAGCTTCATTTCCTTCAAGTGGGCCTTCCTGCTCAGCCTCTACGCACACCGCTACCGGGCCGACTTTGCCGACATCAGTATCCTCAGCGATTTCTGACCCAGGAGGGGCCTCAGGACCCGCACTCAGCCTCTGAGACATCTGATGGGCCTGCTTCACACCCTGAGGACCCCAGAACTGGGGCAGAACATTCACAGCAAGAGGAGTGTGGCCCCAAAGCTACCCTGTTCGAGACCTAGGTGTGTTGGCAAGGGGGTCCTGCCATGTTGCTCATTGACCTGGCTGGAAGACAGCTTTAGACCTTTTCAAATGTATCGATTTTCTTAGTACTTGGTGAGGAATCTTTGTAGCAGGCAGGGCCAGGGATAGGACAGGGTTTTGGTCCCTGCTGTCCCAGGCATTCTCCCTGCGGTCTGAGTGACAGCAACCTGGGCAGGGTATGGCATCTCTAGATGACACCTCTCACCCTGCCCCAGCACCTCCATCCTGTGGACCCCCAAAGGTCAGGTAGGTTTAACTCATGGGGCCTGGGAATGGTGACATTTGACTCTCTCCAAGGCTTTAGGCGGTGAGTAGGGAGTTGAGTGTCCCTGTTCCACCCAGAGCTGGCCTTCCGTGAGTGCAGACTCCCTTCCTCACCCACAAGCTAGGGGTCTGGAATATGTTGCTGCCTCCAGGAAGGCTTTGAGGGAGAGGCAGCACGGTACAAGTTGAAAGGAGCCCCAAGTCTTGTTAATTTCCACCGACTTCTCACCCCAGCCCTGACACCTCTCCGAGGCCACTACGCCTCTCTGCCTCCCCCTAAAGCTTTCAGCTCTTCTTAATCTCCCTTCCAAAGGACTAAGTCTGCCCATCTACGGGCCCATGGGCTCACCTAACTGGGGAGGGAAGGGGCTGTGTTCAGTCTTCTCACAGTAGGTTGCCATTTAGCATGGTCTACTCCCTTTCCCTCTGCTCTTTGCCTTATCTCTGTCACTGTCACTTTAGCAGAAATACAGCAGCCATTTCTACCAACCAGCCTCTGGCTGTTTCTTGGGAGGTGGGAATTGGGAGGGTGGGGGGTCTGTGAGAGGACTGGAAGGAGGGGGTTCCTTAGTTATCTGATTAAGTCATTTCCCCACCACAGACTAAGACGCCCTGCTAGCATAATGGATTAAGAATTGAGTTGCTAATCACAAGATCAGCAGTTCAAATCTACCAGTCACTCTGAGGGAGAAAGATGAGGCTTTCTGTGAATCTGTAAAGATTCACAGCCTCAAAAACTCGATACAGGGTTGCTGAGTTAGAACCGACTCCACCACACAGAACCACCACCTGGCCCAGACTCTGCCTGGGAGGGCAAGGGAAGGAGTCAGTATCTTGAGCTGGGGATCCATATGGCCTGGGAACACCCATCATCTCAGTCCCACCTCCACTCCCCTGCCAGGATGAGGATGCCCATGGCCAGTCACAGCCACCCCTATGGGATTTAGTGTTCCTCATCCCAAGAGACCAGGGCAGATGGGGAGGGGACAAGAAGCAGGCTACACCTTCTGGTCGCACTCTTCCAGGCTGTGTGTTGGGAAGACAGGGAGAACTTGGGGCCCGTTCTGAGGTGATAAGGCTAGAACAGCCTAGCAAGTGGGAACCATAAAGGGAGGTACTAGCAGCCAGGGGCTTCTCCTCTTTGCTTAGACGGGCGAGTGTGTCCAGGCTCTGTCTCACTGCTTCTCTCTCTGAGGCTCAGTCCATGCTTCAAAAGTCACGGTACATCAGAGCCGGAAGGAACCATAAACAACGTCTATTTCTGGAGCCTGTGCTGATAAACAGAGGCCCCAGGAGGTGAGGTGACTTACCTGAGCGCCCAGCTGGGACTGACCCCAGGGATGTCTGATTCCCAGCTCGTTGGGGATGCTGTAATGAGCAGGGTCTGCACACCTATGCCTTGGACACACACACACACACACACACAGCCCACCCTGTTGGGCCAGCTCTGTCCATGGCTTTAGCCCAGAGCTGCCCCCTGTCCATTACTCTTCTTGGGGGCAGGTGGGGACAGCTAGGGTGTGTATGTGCAGAACAGATTTCCTGCTGTAGGCCACCTTCCAAGGAAGAGCAAGGAGCTAGAGAGGGGACTGTACCCCAGATCAATTCGTTCCACCTCTGCCCCGAGTCAGGCACACTGTGCTGGACAACGTGGTGCCCATGTGCACACCACCTCCACATCCCAGGGTCCTTGTCACTTGTACTTATAAAGCAAATAAAACATTTATTGTTCAGATTTTTTTTCCATTTAAAAAAATTTTTTTTTCTTTTTTACAAAAACATGCACACATACACAGGGTCTGGTGGGTCTGGAAAACACACATACGTACACGCACACACACAAATACTTTCCTTCTTGGCCCCAGAAGCCTGAAGACACCCTCCCCTTCTCTGCATCCTGTGTCCACTCCCCCCACTCCCTCCCCTTCAGCCAGGTCAGTCCTACATGGGGTGAGTGGGGGAGACCCCAGGAACAGAGGTCATGTGGGAGGAAGTGACCTAGGGGCCCCTGGGGGCTGTGCTGTGCTTCCAGGGGGAGATGAAAGGTTTGGCACCATAGAGTTGGGAAGCGCAGACCTTGGAGAGCACCTGCCCACTCCACCAGGGCCCTGAGGTGGGTGACCTCTGGCAGGGGCAGGGACTAGAGAGTGCTCTGAGGGAGCTTCACTCATCTCAGTGCCCAGTGGCCGAAGGCAGAAACTTCCAGGGTCATGTAGGAAACAAAGTCCCTCTACACTCAGGGATAAGGGACCCTAGACTGCCCCATCCCCCCCGCCCCAGGGGCCTCTCCCCTGGCCCCTCCCAGGAAGGACTGTCCTGACTGAGGGCAAGTTCACATTTCTGTGTGGGGCCTGAGGCTGTGTGTTAGGTCCCAGGTCTGTGGAGCCAGAAATAGTGGTTAAAGGTCGGCCCAACAAAACCAGTCCTGAGGAATGGGGCCACAACCAAGGGCCTAGACCTCGAGGGGCAGAATTCTCTGGGGAGTGTTCTGTAGGGCTGCCCAGCCTGCCCTCTCTTAGGATCCTCTCTGGTCCCCGCTCAAGGCCCAGAGGCCTTCATGGCTCCCTAGGGTATTGGCAAGGCAGGCTGTTCTCTGGTGCTGACCACCCACCAGTGGATCTCTGAAGACCTGGAGGGTGGGCATTGTTGCCAGAGGTTAGACAAGAACCAGATCCACAGGTCAAGGGTGGGCAGGCAGGTCCGTTCTGAAGCTTCAGAGATTCATAGGTTCTTCCTCCTCCACCAGCTGCTCTGAGGGCCTGTGGAAGGACAGGGTGGGGAAAGCTGAGCTTCCCTCCCAGCTCTGGTCGACAAGTCCAAGAAGGCTATGGGCCGTGGGCTGGGGACCGCCCAGTGCCAAGGGCCTGGCATTACCTCTCTTCAGCCAGGATGCCCACAGAGAGAGATGCCAGTGCAGTCACTGCCTCCACTTCCTCTGGGTCGTTCCCTGGCCCTCTGGGCACCCAGGCATCTGGACAGGAAGCCAGGCGCTGCATGCAGCCCCAGTATTTACCTGGGACAAGAAGCCAGGTCAGAAAGGGTGGGGGAGACACGCCCCACCCATCCCACACCTGCACCCTTGTCCTAACTCTAGGGCTGGAAGTTCAGGTCTGAGGGTGGTGGTTGTTTTTTCAGCCTGGGCTGAACACAACTTAGCCCCCAGAACCCTGAAGGAACAAGCAGAGCAGATCCAACATGACCACTAGGGGGCCTCACACGTGCCCAAGTCATTCTCAAACCCTTCTTGGCTGAAAGACTTCCTCGTGCCCAATCCCCTAAGGGCACTGTGGACCCATGTTGGTGGACTGGGTCTACGTCCTCACAGATTCTCAAGGCCTGGCCTCCTGGAGCACAAGTCCCGGAAGCCCATTCAACTGTAGCCCCCATGCTCAGCCCAGCACATGGGAGAGTGAGATGGGGAACAAAGGACCACAGCCCTTCCTCGAGCTGCCTACCCTCGCTGGGCTTCCACTGCCCCATCCACACCATGGGACTAATATCCCAGCCCGCTGTGGTTAAGAAATGATGTCTAGAGAACACAGCCGACACGGAACCTGGCTCAGTGTGAGGACTGTGCACCAAACCCCAGTCTGTCTTACTACGCAGGGTTCCTGCCGAGCCTTTGCTGCGAGGAGGACTCGGTTCAGTCATTTTGGTAAACCAGCAAAATCATGCACAGAAAGCGCACGATAGAAAATGTAAGGTGCTTCCCAATTGTGGGAGTTGTTCCAAGACCCAGCCCCAAAGCAGGCCGAGCCCCCATGATCCCCTGTGGCAAACAAGGCCTGGGTGCTGCTGTTGGCCTGGCTACAGAGGTGAGAACAGGCCCGCCCCTGAGGAGACTGACTGGCTCTATCTGGAGGTCTGAAAGGGTATCTGTTTACAGGAGGCTGTCCCAGCAGCCCTGCAGGGGTAGCTGACAGGATGCACTCCCAGCAGCAGAGCTGAGGTTGGCCAGTGGAGTTGGAAGCCCTGGCAGCATGGCAGGTGGAGGAGTGGAGCCCTGAGGCTCCCTCAGGGCTGACTGAGGGTGGGGCTGCTTCACACCAGGCTCAGCTTCCGCTCCCCACTCACTGTGAACCCGGATCACAGCTTCCAGGGAGCGGATAGCATTGAGGTTGGGTTTCTGTTTCCAGCCTTCTTGGGAGAGGGGCTCCACCTACAGAAAAAGTGCACATCGTGTTTTGTGGCTCTCGAGAAATTAAAAAAGCAATTTTAATACCTGAAATGCCAAAAGTCTAGCTTTGGGCTGAGCTTGGTCATGTCGCTTAAGTACTGAGGTGTTTGTTTTAACTCTACTGACTCTGTTAACAGTTTCGGTCCATCAGCGATCCAACCCAAACAGATCTGAAGAGCAGCTTTCCCGGTAGCTGGTGTTTTGTCATTACTAACTTACCTACAACCAATTCAGCTGGAGTTTATTAAACTTTAAATAATTAACTAATTAAACTAATTAGTTAGCTTATTAAGTGAAGTAATTAAAACATGAAATGGCAACAACACAAAATATGTGTAGTCTATATAGACTTATTCTAAACACTTGAAATTATGTGAAGTATTTAAACAGAAGACCAACAACTATCAGGACTCTAGCATGTTAGTGGCTTTTCACTTATTGTAAATGAGGGGCTTCAGAAAGTTCATTAGAAAATTCTAATTTTTCAGGAATTTTTGAAGCTCCCTCATACTATTCTTGCAGCAACTGTTTAGACAGTTTTTGTTTTGTTTTTTTAAAAAAAGAGTACTTCAGCCACTAGCCTCTCAAGGGACCCAGAGGCCCAGCCCTCTCCCATCCCTAGGACCCTGGCCTTCTGCCTAGGTCAGGAGACTTTGCCCACCCCACCCCAGGTCTGGCCACCCCAGCCCTCTGCACCGAGGAGGGCCCTGGCTGGGAGGCCCTGGCTGCCCCGCCCTGCAGGTACAGACACGCAGGACTGGCAGCTCACCTTCTTGCCCAGGAGAGCAGCCACACAGGCCTCGGAGGCGTCACAGATGGCAGTGAGGTCATGGCCGCCTTCCAAGGCCAGCACCACTGCACCTCCCGCCAGGTTCATCAGTTGCTGCGTCATGTACCCAAAGCCTAGGAGGTTGGGTGGGGAGAAACAGGAGGGCCGGCATGGAGGAGAGGCAGACCCAATCTCTCCCTCAGAAATAACATTCAAGTACTTTCTCATTGGGCCCCATGCAAAACCCTGGGAGTACAGTATGCCTCACTTGGAGGAGCTCCAGAGGCAAAGTTTAAACACATAACTGTTAATCAAAAGGCTGGCGATTTGAACCCACCCACAAGCTGCTCCATGGGAGAAAGACTTGGCAATCTTCTCCCATAAAGATTACAGCTTAGGAAACCCTACAAGGCAGTTCTCCTTCATCATCTGGGGTCAGTATGCGTTAAATCAACTTGATGGCACCCAACAATAACATCATGCCTTATTCAAGACTCAGAGAAGTGAAGGGGCTTGCACGAGGTTCTGCAGCTAGTAAGGAACATGGCCAGGGCTGGAACTGAGGCAGAAACTCCAGCCTAGTCTTGTCACTAAGCCACATCACTTCCTCTCTCAGCCCACCAGGACCCGTGGAGGAGCAGCCAACCCAAACTGGGACCAACACAGTCTAGAGGTAGAGGTTGGCTGACTAAGCTTCCTGTCTGAGGCCTGATGAACTGCAGTCCCCAGGGGTCTGACTGGCTCAAGTCCTCCACGGGGAGCTGACCTGGTCACAAGAAGGCCCTAAGCTATGCAGATCCCAAGGCCAGTCCCCACACTCTAGGTCACCTTTCCATTGAGACTTGGCAGTGCTCCCACCCCAGCTAGGCCCGCATTCCCTACAGCCACCTGGCTTACATTTGGCAGACACGTGATAGCCACCCAGTGGGGGCAGGTGACCCTCGGCAGCATCAAACCCAGCCGACACCAAGACCAAGTCTGGAGAGAACTCCCGGGCGATGGGCATCACAATGGTCCTGTGAGGTTTTGAGGAGAAGGGGGATCATCACACTGTCAGGGCTGCCTGGGGAGGGGAGTGCAGCCCTGCCTGGCATATACATGGCAGGTCCTCTCCCGACAGCTTTACGTGAGGTACCCTATTCTTAGGACTCCAAGACACTCTCATCCCCTCAGGATCCCTTCAACCTCCTAGCCTTTGGCTGGTCAGCCATGTATGTCCTTAACAGGCACAGCCTGTAGACCAGGGACTCCAGCCCAATTCCTGAAGAATGGACTCTTTCAGAGACTATGTCCAGAAAAATATTAGAAGACCTATTTTCAGGATTATTTTGTCACAAAGGGCATGGAGGGACTCCAGCATGAAATAGACACAGAGCCGGAACCCGAGATCGGGAAAGGCATTTTGAGGTAACCCCCCCAGGTGGACATCATCTGTTCTCCTTTCTCCATCAATTGAAGTTCTTCTCCTCCTGCTCTCAGTCCATCCTCTCCCCCTCCAGGCAGACTTCTTGGGCTAACTCTGTCCACTCTATCCTGCACGACACCCAGAACTCAGTTCTACCCTGGCTCTTGGTAATGTGAGACTTAATAAACACCCTTTGACTCTTCTACTCTTGTGTGTGTCCTGTCTTCCCTCCAAGTCTGGAGACCCCCTCGAGGCCAGTAACTAACTTTCCCCACCCGTGGGCTGGTCTAGTGCTCAGTCATTGGTTTGGAACAGACTTGACAAGGTACTTCCAACCTGGTGCTATTAGGAAATGGGGCAGGAGAGGGAGGCCTCACTGAGCCAAACCACCTCTGGTCCCCTAGAGCACATACCTGAAGGCTGCCAAGTATTCAGGGTCCCCCATGGGGGGATCTAGACCTCCGGTCCAGGCCACATTGACATTGAAGCCCTCGCCACTGCCAGCCCCCACCTAGAAAACAAGCAACAAGAGAGACATGAAGAGAAAAGATTCCAGAAGCAGGATCTCAAGATGTTAGAGCTGCAAGACCAGCTTGCCCAGTGTCTTCATGTTCCAAATGGGGAACCTGAGAATCAGAGCAGCTAGGCAGTCTTCCCAGGGTCACACAGCTGTCTGTCACAGAGGCCGAGTGTGTGCCCGAAGGGAGATTCAGTGGGGCTGGGAGATGTGGCCCCGCCATGCAGCTACCTCATTCACGGCCCCACTGCCTGGGAAGAAGTTGCCATCATCATAGCGATGCAGAGAGATGTACAGCACACTGGGATCCTGGTAGAAGGACTGCTGGGTGCCATTACCGTGGTGGACGTCCTGTGCAGGGAGATGGGTGGTGGGTAAGGGAAGGTCCCCAAACAGTGAGATGGAGGTTGGGCCGGCTGGCCAAGTTTCAAGGCTGGTGAGAGTTCTGAGGGCCAGCTCTCCTGGGAAGAATTGAGTTCTGCACTCAGTTACTCCCAAGATCACCTACTGGTTCCAGTATGTAAAGTTCCTCCACTGATCTCAGTTTCCTCTTAGAAATGCCCTGTTGACAGCTGTCACCTCAGAGGGACATAAACCCCACCGGCATGGTTGATTCTGACTCTGAGCATCCCTAAAGCAGACTTCCCAGACTGTAAATCTTCATGGGAACAGACAGCCTCATCTTTCTCCCACCGAGTGGCTAGTGGGTTTGAACTGCTGACCTTGCAGTTAGCAGCCCAACACCTAACTCACAGCACAACCAGGGCTCCTTGAAGGGATACGGTTCAATCGGTAAATGCATGTACTCTAGAACTAGCCTGCTGGTTCAGATCCCAGTCTTAACCACTTCCTAGGTATGTGATTGTGTGCAGACTACTTAATCCCTCACCCGGGTACAATGGGTTAGGGTCAAATTTTTAGTCAGGATTAAATACATCTAGCTGCCATTTGTGGCATACTGATGTTATCTGCTACTATTGTCATTATGGCCTGTCGGGGAAAATGCAAGAAATACTAGTTCTTATGAGAGAAGCCAAAAGAGCCCAAAAGACCATTCAAATGAAACCTCCCATCTATACTAGGAGTTGCTTCCCAAACACCTTCTCCTATGGGCTTCCCAACGGCCCTGGGAGCTGGATATTAACTTCACCCCATTCTCCACAGGAGAAACGGAGGTTCAGGGAGGCTAACGCGGCACTAGGACCTGAACCACATCTTCTGATGCCGAGCTCGGGTCGCTTCTCCCAAAGGTTCTCTGCTCTGAGGGAGCTAGGAGCCAGGACCTACCCAGTCCACAATGAGGATCTTGCTGGCCTTGCCCTGTTGTTGCAGCTGCCGACAGGCTATGGCCACTGAGTTGAAGAAGCAGAAGCCCCTGGAAGGAGGAGAGAGAGGTCCTGCCAGGCCATTCTTGTCCCATACCCTCACTTCCTCAAGCCCAAGAGAAGGAAAGAGAATGTCCTCATAGGAAGACCCTTAGGGCGGGACACCCAGCCCACTCTATCCCCTCCAACTCTCCCCTAGGTCTTACATGGCTGTGGAATGGTCTGCATGGTGTCCTGGGGGCCGTACCACAGCAAAACCGTTCTGGAGAAAGAAAGAACACTTGTCAAACAGCCAGACTTCTGACCCACTTCTGTGAGAACCCCCACCACCCACCGGCACCTCGTCGGAGAGAAGGCCTACTGAGGCCCGTGTCCCCGGCTGGATCTGAAGTGCCCTCCACTCAGCCCCAGTCTTCAGGCTGCTTTCCGGCGGGACGCACACAGACCCTGCCATGGTGTGCCCTGTGCCAGGCCTGCTATCACCGGGTAATAACAACAGTTACTGTTGATTGAGCAACAACCACGTGTATGGCACTGTGCTAACCACATTTGATACGCCACATTTCATTCTCCTAACAGCTCTCTGAGGTAAACGTGATCTGCCCCTCACAGCATCTCCATGAGGTGAACATTATGATCTCCAGTGTACAGGTGAAGGAAAATCTAAGGTTTGACAGGTTAAGCAGCTTGTCCAAAGTCTCCTATAACGTAAATGGTAGACCCAGGATTTTAAAACTAGGAATGTGTTCTTTTCTTTAAAATCATTTTGCTGTTGAAAATAGATACCACAGAACATACACAATTTCTGCATGTACAATTTAGTGACACTGATTACATTCTTCAAATGCAACCATTCCCCCTTCTTGTGGAATTGCTCCCACCTCCATTAACATAAAACTCACTGCCTCCTAAGCTTCCTATCTGATCTTTGGAGTTGTTCCCAGGGCTGCAAAGTTCCACCAAGGATCTGTGACATTTAGGACACTGGCCACTCTGGGCTATAAGCTTATAACAGGGATTCTCACAGTGGACCTCTGGACAAGTCCCTCTAAAGTATCCAGCCCAAACAAACTTGCGCACCATCCCCATTTGTCTAAAGTTGGCACTAGGAGGAACCCAAAGGCTGAGTAATGTCTGAGGTCCACAGAAGTTGTGTGCATGCCTCCTAGCCCTGGATGAGCAAGGCCCTGTATCGTTTAGAGACCAAGGGTCAAGGGCCACAGTGGTTTCACTCACTCCCCACAAGAAACACAGCCTAGGGTTCAGATCTCACCCTGCTCCCAGAGCCCCCAATTTCCCTTCCTAACCAAGAGGAATGAGAGTTTTGGCCACAGGCAGCTTTGTTTGGGGTTTGGGCCTGGCCTTCCCCAGTGTCCCAGCCTGCTGCCTCCTCCACTGGCTGCCCACTTCCACCCCAACCCCTACCTTTAGCTCTCGGGAAGCCACTTTGAAGGCGAGGTCCGTGACACTACCTGCGGCCCAGCAGGCTGCATTGGAAGAGTGCAGCTCATTCCAGATTGTATCATTGTCCACCTGTGGGGTCAGAGTCAGGACCCGCATCATCCAGGGCCTCCCACAGGGCCCATGGGGCAGTGCCCACCCCATGGCCAGAATCCCAGGGGCAGGGAGCTGGGCAGACGATGCTGCCTCCCCAGTGCCCCACCGCCCCAAGGCAAGGCCTCCGGTGTCCCCCAATCCCAGCCTCAGTCCCAGCACCAGCCCATATGTGGCCAGCACTCTGCCGGCAGCATCACGCCTGCCTCCCCACTCGGGGGAGGGGGCATGGCGTTACCTGGGCGGGACTTGGGGTTTGGGCCGGGAGGGGGTTTTAAGCCCCAGCTGACTCTGCTCAGGCCCTGCGGGATGTTCGGAGCTGGAGGGGCCGTCTGCACCACTGTCTTCCACTCGGGGCCCCTAGCCCAGGCTGGGAGGCCCCCCAAACCCAGTCCCTGGGCCTCAAGGCTAGGGAGGGGCCGGGGGGCATGATGGGGAGATGGGAAGGGCGAGGCGGACCAAGAGAGGCGAGGAAGGCAGAGAGAGTCGCAAGAGGCTGGAGAAAGAGAGAGAGAGAGAAAGACAGAGAGGGAGAGGAGGGAGGAGAAAACAGAAGCAACAACAGTTGGAAAAATCAGAAAGTGGCAAGAAATGGGAAGTTGTGAATAGGGCACTGGCTGGCTCCCAAACAGCCCTCCCACCAGCTGTAGCTCCCATGTTCCCTCCAGAACTCGATCCATCCCCTGCTTCTACATCTTGATGGGGACTTGAGCGCTACAGAGGAGGCAAGGCGCTCCCAAAACAGTGAGGAAGACAAGCTGGGTGGTGAAGGCTTGGGACAGGCAAGACCATGCAGAGGATAGCCCTGAGGCAGCCTGGGAAACCCCTCCAGAGTAGAGAAAGCCATCTGGGGCCAATGTCCAGACAGGGCTCTGAGGAAGGAAGGCCCTGCTTGCAAGCCTCAGCTTCACTCTCTGATTCGGCATTTCCGAGTGAGAGGCGCTGAGCTCCACACTCAAAAGACTCAGTGGGGCAAGGACAGACTGTCCACAGGAGCTTCTACACCAGCATGGCTGCCCAACAGCAGTGGGCATCAGAGAAAACTCCCTGGTCTATCTAGTCTGGTAGAAGCCCCAGAACAAGAAGGCAGAGCTGGGCCTGGAGAGCTGAAGGGAGGAAGCCTGGAGAGCCCTTGGCCATGCCCACTTGGGACCCCTGGGGCACACTTACCCCAACCCCACCACAGGGCAGCATCACAGACATCCGCTGTTCCAGGAGCCCTGTGGGGAAAGGCCGACCAACCGTGAGAAGGGGAGTCCTCTTACCTCTGGCCCTGATGAGAGGACCTGGGAGGGTGGTGGTGAGAGCACGGGACACAGAGCCGGACCTGGGGGAAAAGCTACCTGCCAGCTTCCCATTGTCCAGTTTGAGGCGGCTGAGGGGGTTGGTTCCATAGAGGAGCACGTGCCTCTCCGAGTGGACTGACTGTAGCTCCTCCTGGGAGGCCTTCCGACCGCGGAGACACTAAGAAGGGGAGTGAGGGACCACAGCTCCTAAGCCCCTTCCCGTCCATACTATCCACTGGGCCCACGTGCCCCTTCACCTCACATGGCTCCCAAGCCCTCTGCCCCCTTCCCCTCCATCACTCTCCAACCCCTCACCTCACACTGGCCCCGGAGCCCCCGTTCCTGCAGCCGGGACCAGATGCTCTGAATGCGGCCGGCATGTTCTGGGTGCCTGCTGTTGTCCCCACAGGAGCACTGGTGCTTCAGCATCACGGAGTCATACACCAGGCCTGCCAGGAAAGGGGTCCCAGCCCACCCGGCATTCAATGTGGACAAAGTGTCCACCAAGGCACCCCACAGCCAGCACCCACACACATCCTGAGGCTGATGCAGGGAGCCTCAGAAAACCTCACACACACACACCCCAAGGCTGATGCAGGGAGCCTAAGAAAACCTCACACACACACACACACACCAGCACTGCGACAGCCAACAAGGAACCACACAGCCTCTACCTTCCTGAGACAAATGTGATCCAACTCATCTAGGCTGTCTTCCAGTGCTCAGACAAAACAAAGTCAGAAGTCTCACCCTGGGCGCCATGACCCCAGAGGCCACCAGGAGAAAGAATTGCTGGGAAGTCCCCAAACCAAGAGCTGGAGAGCCCCACAAGGACACTGGGCCATGTGATAAGGCCGAAACAGTTTTCAGGCAGTGACTATTTCTGCTCAACATGCCGCTGAACAGGGTGGGGAGATACCACTAGTGGAGGTCACTGAGCACTGAGCACCTGGACGTTTCTGGGACCAGTTTCATGACATAAAGAATACCGAGCGTCATCAGCCCATTTGACTCCAGAATGCCACTCCTTAAAATGGATCCTTGGGAAGTAAGCCCAGGGATGAGTACAGATTAATGTATAAAGAAATAAAAACGAAGAATAATCAAGAATATTCTAAATGTCCAACTCACAAGAAGTGTTAAGATAAAAATAAAATACTGTGGGACACACTAAGAAATGTACGTTTCTGTGGACAAATGACATCAAGAATAGCTCCTATCATGTGTAAAATGTACTTCTGTGAATATGGTATTTATACCTTTACATATGGCTAGAGCAAAGAGTTTGTTGAAATATAGCAAAATGTAAGAGGGGTTGTCTTGTCCCTGGCATGATGTTGTGAGTTAAGCATTGGGCTCCTCACAGCAAGATGGGTGGTCAAACCCACTAGTCACTCCATAGGAGAAAGATGAGGCTGTTTGCTCCAGTAAAGATTTAGTCTCAGAAACCCCGTATAGAGTCACTATGAATCAGAACCAACTCAATGGCAGTAGGTTTGGTTTGGTATCCCTGGGTGGTGGGCATTGGTTGATGATTTCTATTTTATTCTTACACTTTTCTGTATGTTCTTCAAATTTCCATTATATTTTTGAACCATGTTTTGCAATTAAAAAAGCAATCCCTCGTAACCAATACTGAACTAGTTGTCAGGAAACACAAATTCCCAGGCCTGACCACCAGCTAGTCACCTTAGATTTCCTGAGCCTTAGTCTCCTCATCTGTGAAAGGTAAAGAACCGTGCACCTACCTGCTGCATAGGACCATGGCACACACAGCCTCACTTAACTCTCCTCTTACCTGTGGTAAAGGGCAGGGTCCTAGCAGGGGTCTCCGAGCTGGGAAGGACACGAGTCTGACTAGTGGGCTCTGAGGCTGGCAGAGAGGCAGGCGCAGCTGGGGAAGACTGAGTCCTGGACAGAGGCCGGTGTCCACCGTGGGCCAGGGGAAGCAGCACAGAGCCCCCAGGGCCTCCCCGGGGCAGCCGTCCCACCAGTCGCTGCTGTTGCTGCTGCTGCTGCATCCAGAGGAACACCTGAGGGACACAGAGAGCCTCAGCTGCCAAAATCTCAGGGTCCTGCTCCAGGCAGACCTCCTTTCTGGGTGAGACCTTATGATGTTATGCCTCACTGCTAGACTCTGCCTTTGACCCTCTCAGCTCCTTGCTCCCACCAGCCCCCAAAGGCCTGCATCACAGACGACCACCTAGGTCCACCGGCGCAACCCTGGGCCCTTGGGTCGCCAAATCCAGAGCCTAGGGGAGGGACCTCAGACCCAGCTCAGACCAGGGATCCCTTGTCTCCAAGAATTGCAACTGCCCAAGAGCATGGAATCCTGGTGTGGCACTGTAGGTTAATGCGCTGGACTGCAAAGCTGGTTTGAACCCAAGGTCGGCAGATCAAGCTCACCAGCCGCTCCTCAGAAACCTTATATAGCAGGTCACTATGGTTGGAACCACCTCGAGGGCACTTAACAACAAGAAGAGCATGGGGAGCTGCATAAGCTGCTGTCTGGGTGTGTGTTGTTACCACATCTTGACTCACACAGTGAAAGCAGTATGGGATTGAAGTGCTTGAGCCTGGCTCTTTCCCACTCCATCCCAGGGCTGGGACATCACTCACAGAGATAGTGTTAGAGGCAGGAGTGGATAGGGTTCCCTGAAAGGCCAGCCTCACTGCTGGGAAGGGGACACAGCTTCACCCTGAGACTGGCAGGTTTCTGGAGCGTGTGCATATGTGCAAATGTGTGCTTGTGTGTGCATGTGTGTTTACACACATTCATGTATATTTGTGTTTGTGTGTATATATGAGCATGCACATGCTTATACACATTCATGCATGTCGATGTCTGTGTGTACACATACACGTGTGTGTGTGTGTGTGTTGGTGTGAATCAAACATGTAAGGATCCGTGTTGGGCAACCATGGGTCTCAGAGCTGTCCCTGCACTGGTATCACACCTCCCTCCCTGCCCACTCTTGTCTCAATGCACCCTCCAAGGGGCATGCAAGCACTCCCATACCTGCTGGTGCTGCTGAAGAGGAAATGGGCCTCTGGCCTCTGGCTGCCCTTGGCTCGACTCCCTGCGTTCCAAGCTGTCGTCGCCCCCCTGCCCCATGCCCCCACCATCGGTCTTTAGGTCTTCAGCGGAGGGTATCTGCCGTAGTCGGGCCTTCTCACCCGGCTTGGATGGCTTCTGGGAAAGAGAGATCCCTGAGCTGAATGAACAGCCAGGCTGGGGCGAGTGAAGACTCCAGCCAGCTGCTTCACAGCTCTGACCCCAGCCACATCCCCTCTCTCATCCTCTGGAGTCCTGCCCTCCCTCGGCCCCCTTGTCTTCTCACAGCTGCCAGAAGCCCAGTTAAACACCATCTTACCAACTTCTCTACCCAGTTTCCCTCACCTCGATCAGCTGGACATGATGTTTGAGCTGCTCTGGGAGAGGCTGCAGGGGGCCGAGCGGTGGGGGGGCGGTGGTGCTAGGGGGCAGGGGCTCTGAGCGGGTCCATCTCAGTGGCCAGTGGAAGCCTGACCCGGAGAACCGCTTGGTAGCTGGTAAGGACTGGGCCAAGTGGAAAGGCAGATGCCCAAGCCCAGGCACTAGAAAGAACAGGGTGGGGGCGTAAGGAGGAGCCTGGGGTGTACTGACGGAAGCATGGGTATGGGCTAGGGGGCACAAAACAGGGAGGTACTCAGAAGAGCCCGGGGCTGGAGAGCAGGCAGAGAAGACAAGCCCCTCCCCAAGCTTGGTTCTTAGTTGGGTGCAGGGGCCCAAGCTCTTTATCCAGGAGCAGGAGGACTCACCGTGAGAGACTGAGGGGTCCAGGAGGAAAATGGGCTGCAAGCGAGAGGGCAAGGTGCCTCCAACCTCAGGCTCCAGGCCAGGGGGCAGGAAGAGGGGAGCATGAGAGCTCCCCAGGACCGGCCCCCGGGGAACCAAAGTTGGATGAGTCCTGCGGTCCCCATCAGCCTGGGGAAGAGGTAGGAAGGGGTCACATGGGAAGATGGTGCAGGAGGGAGACAAGCAGCAGAGGTGAGTGAGGACAAGTGGAGCGGGGAAGGAGTTGCGGGGGAACAAGCTGCAGGCGCCTGGAGTGGGGAGAGGGGCGCCCCGGCCACTCACCCTGGCAGGGGCGGGCAGCCCCAGTGTGATTGCGGGCAGTAAGGACACTGTTGGCAAGGCGAACGGAGCCAGAGAGGTCTCCTGCAGCCGCAGCCGCTGGCCCAAGAGCGCCTGCCATGGGGAGCAGGGCGAGGGGTCACCGCTCCCAGACTGCTACCCCTGGGCACGCCTTCCCCAGAACCCCCAGTGAAGCAGAGCTGAGCCCCAGACCTGCCCCAGAGAGCCCAGAGCAGGCGAGCCCTTACCTCAGAGCCCAGGACGGGGTTGGGACCGTGCTCACTGTCGTTGGGGGAGCTGCACCCTGATGCAGGCGTGCTGCAGCTGCTGGGGGACGAATCTGGGGGGTGGAGGACCAGGGATGTGCAGTCAGAAACCAGGGGTAGGCAGCAGGGCACCCATTACATGGGCGGGCAGTCTCTGTCTCCTCCTTTCTTCCCAGAAGGCCCCTCAGCCTACAGGTGCCTTTGGACCATTTTTGTAAAGGTGCCCTTTCTCCTGAAACACTGTCAGCTTAGTCAGAGCATGGCTGTGTTTCAGCCCTAGCTCGGCCCCTTGGCCAGGAAGCTTTGTGTAGACCACACCCTGTACGACGGCACACAGGACCCTGAGGAGGCAACCCCTGTCTAGGGGAGAAAGGGACTAGCCTCAAAGGGGTACAACTAGCCGGGCCCGCCCTGTTGGCCCTCACCCCCGAGGGTCTCCGGTGGCCTCCTCAGCAGACTAGGTGGGGAGCTCTCCTTCCGCTGTATGGGATTCTTCCTCCGCTCCTGGGACTTCTTAGGCTTGTAGCGCAGCTTCAGGTTGGGCTCAGAGACTGCAGGGAGCACCAGTGTTACGGGCTCCACCGGCTCCCCTCTGCCCTTTACCATCCCCAAGACCAGTCACCACTTCTGGGTGATGGCAAGAGAAGGCAGAGCTCGCAGAGAAAACCACAGCATGCTGGCTGGCCTTCCCCAGGCTGGCCTTGAACCCCTCACCAGTCACTCTACACTCCCCCAATGAGATCCCCCTCCTTTCGGGTCTTACTCACCTGTTTTACGCAAGGGGAAGTGTTCAGGGGGATCACAGGGCAGGCTGGGAACAGGAGGCAGAAAACTGCTGAGCACAGTGCGGGGAGCTCCTTCAGTCTCCAAAGACTCCAGAGTTCTGCAGAGTGAATGGCAGGGCTGCTTCAGAGGGTGGGCGGCCAGCTCATCCTGCCCTGTGCTCTCAGAACATCACATCCATCCACCCCAAGGCTCCTTCCTGAGCCTGGGCCCTGGGGCCTGCCTCCATGACAACAGCGTGAGGCCAGTGGGAATGAGCCATCTCCAAGTGGCAGTAGCAGGCCACCCATCCGTTATGCAGCTCTCTGATCTAGGCATAGAGGCCAGGGACTCAGGGACTCCAGGTGAGAGGCCAGACATACTGGGCACTCCTTTCTCATAGGCCAGGAACTGCTCTAAGAACATTTTTGAGTTTAGGGAAAGGTGTAGAAAAGGGACTCGTGTGGACAAAGTAGGCTGGCTAGCTGTGTGGTGAGAGAGTGTGTATGTGCTCATGAGTCCATCAGGAGGAAGAGCTCATTGAGAAGGGCGAGAGAATCGCAGGAGAGATGTTGGTGTTAGTAGGGCTTGAGGGGCGTTATGCTTAGAGGCAAAGAGGAAGGCTCGATGAAGCATCCGGGGATGCAAAGAGGGCAAATAAGTCTGTGTGTGCTTACAGGTATCTAGAGAGGACGGGGCATGATGGGGGGTACTTGAGCAGATGGAGGTACCTGTAGGGAATGCTCGGGCTACTAGGATGGACTGTTCTCTCTAGGGCTGCCTGCTGTTTCTTCAGAATCACCTCCGCCAACTTCTGCTTAACCACGCTGCTGGCTATGGCACCTGCAGGGGAGGAGAATCAAGGGGAGGCTGGAGTGGGCAGATGGACTGGCTCCCTGGAACATTCTCTGCCCCAGTACGAGGTGTCCCTAGAACTCCACAGGTAAGTGCCGAGCCCGAGGTGCCACCCTTCCATCGAAGCTCACACCCACATTCCCAAGCAGAGCCCAGCAGGCAGAGGGAGAGCACACTGCGACCCTCCCAGCCCCCTTCTCAGCCCCCAGTCACACAGTCGCTGTCCTTACTCCGCTTGCTTTTGTCCTTATTGAGAAGCTGCCGTAGTTCTTGTTCCTGCTGCCCCATCTGTAGCTCAGGCATCTGTGTGTCCATGGAGAGCTGTGGACAGAACCGGCATTCCCGGAGGGGCAGAGGGGTGAGCGGCTGAGACGAGGGTCTAGGGAGGCCGTAGGGAGGGGCAGGGAGTCTGTCTTTACCCTCAGGGGCTCCGCTGAGTGTTGCTGCTGCTGCTGCTGTTGCTGCAGACCCGCTAGAAAGAAGTGGTGCTGCAGACGCTGGGAGTGCTGCAGTACCAACAGTGTGGGCTCCGGGGTGGGCTCCACCGGGGGCCGCTGGCCTACCCGTAGATCCATGGGCTGGGGCTGAGGGCCTGGCGTGTCTGCACCGGAAAGAAAGAGGGTGGGTCAGTCAGAACATCTGTGTGAACAGTGCCTGGTTACAGCCTAGTCAGGTCCCTCCAGCTCATGCCACAATGACAAGACACCCTCACAAAGCCTGCTCATGGAATCCTCAGCCGGTACTTCCAGGGAGACAGTCTCAATTCCATTTCAGCCATGAGAAAGGAGGTCATCTGAACGGTGTACAGCTACAGTCCGTCACTGGTGGTGCTCAAATTCAGTCTCCAAGCACAGGGCGTTCCCACTGGGGCTGAGGGCTTCACTTCACTGAGGAATTTAAGGATGGGCTGGGGCTCTACTACGTTCTCTCTGGGCCCTGCTCTTCCTCTCTCCCTGACTCTGGAATGGGAGGGGGTGGCACTGCGAGATACACATCGGGCTGCTAACCACAAGGTCAGCAGTTCAAACCCACCAGCCACTCCGTGGGAGAAAGACGAGGCTGTCAGCTCCCACAAGTCTCGGAAACCCGTTCTAGGGTCGCTGTGACTTGGAGTCGAACTCATTCGGGGGACTCTCTAATGAGCTGGGCTCAAAGGTAGCCATCCTGCAGGCAAGCAGTCTTATTTTGCTCTTTCACCAGCCCTTACCGGTTCCTCTCAGAGTTGCCACACTCCCATAGTGTATGGCATAAAGATGCCTTAAACCTATAGCCACTCAGGCCTACAGCCCTGGGCCTGCCGAGTGCGGTTCGCAGGACAGGTTCCTCAGCTCAGTGGGCCCACATGAACGTGGAACCTGCTCCCAGGTGCCCTCCTTGCCAGCTCTGGGCCTGATGTAGTGAGGACAGTACGCTTAGATACTCCTTCTCAAGTATCTGCAGCACCCACGCCAGGCACACCCTGCCAAGGTCGTGGGTACAGGGGCTATTTATAACTATTTGCTGGAGTAGGTTCTACACCTGTGCACGCCACCGGGCCAGGCTGGGCTGAGCAGCCAGAGACTCTTGAGACAATCCGAGGTGGGACTTCTACAGGGGGCTTTCCTGGAAATGGGGAGAGGTGATGGTGGGAGCAGACTGTCCTTCCAAAGCTAAGTGTCCCCCAACAGGGCAGCCATAGCCTGTCCTTGGGGCCTGGATTGACAGGGGCTGGGGAGGCATGGTGGCAAAGCAGAAAAGAACATCAGTCAGGGGGACAGGAAGCTTAGGGTGCAGGCCTCTCTGCCCATTCCTAATCACAATCTGAACATCTATGGCACATGTGTATGAGTGTCTACAAAAGCCCTGGGCTTTCAGAAAGTCATCTCCCCTCAGGGGAGCTTCCCACTGAACAAAGGGAGAGCGGCTTGCGGTAGGTATAACCTCTAAGATTCTCTGAGTGAGAGATGCCACCAGAGAACGGCCAAGTAAGGAGGTGCCTACCCTGACCCTCTGGTTGTCAGAGAGAGGAGGTAATGGCTGTGGACCTCACTGAGGTTCCAAGGAGGCCAACTGTCAGCACAAGAGATGTAGCCACCCTTATTCATACACCCAGCCCAGGAATCCAGATTCTCATTCCCATCAGCCTCTGATGCCAACACAACCCTATCATACCTTCCAGTGTCTTGGCTTCCTGAGGGGTCTCGCCAAGGCATGACAACCATTCCCAAAGCCACACCTTCAGCCATTCACAAACTCCGAGCTCCTCCCTCATGCTCAGCACTCAACAGTGTCCAGTGGGGAAGGCTGCTGAGTGGCTGGGGCTCTGCCTGGACCTGGACTGTCTCTCAGGGGCTCCACAGTCTGGTCCTAACCAGGTTCCTCTCTGCTCGGTCCCCCACCTCAGCCATGAGCTGTCCTCTGAACTTCTGGTCACACTGTCTGTCCCCTGCCTGTGCTGTCCTCACGCCTTACCAAGGCTGAGTCCTCAGTCTGCCTTGATGCTTCTGAGTAGCCAGAACTGAAGCCAGGAGGCTACCTGGCCCCTGCTGTATATAATCACTAGGCATCAGGCTAGGAGCTCTGGTAGTATAGTGGTGACGAATCGGGCTGCGAACCTTAAGGTCAGTGGTTCGAAACTACCAGCCGCTCCACGGGAGAAAGACGAGGCTTTCTACTCCCGTAAAGATTTATACCCTCGGAAACCCTGTACAGGGTCGCTATGGGTCGGAACCGACTTGACAGCACTTAACAACAACAACAACAACAAGGCATCAGGCTAAGGCCCTGCACTCAGTAGGCCTGCAGTGGATAGGGTTGCAGATAAGGAAGGGGCAGCCCCTCATCCACTCCAGGCCTACCCCGTGGGCAAGTCCTAGGTCAAAGCAGCAGCAGAGAGGCCACGCCAACCTTCCCCAGCCAGCAGAACAACAGAGGAGGTTTAGACCAGCAGGAGAAGGAGGTGAGGAAGGATGAAAGAAACAAGGAAAGGAGCATCCTCTGTGATCCAAGCACCACGAATCAGCCGTCCACCCTCCAAGGTTACCAGGCCCACCTTCCAGGACTGGTGTGAGGACTGAATGAGCCAAAACACGAGACCATGCCTGGCAGAGTATAAATATCAGTTCCCGACTTTCCTTCCTGTTTCACTACACCCAGCAAGGACCAGAAGAATGCCCTGTCTTCCCTTTTCCTGTTGTGCTGCCTAGCACTGGGACCAGCCCAGACCAGAATTGTCTCTCGTCCCTACTCCTCACCTTTCCCCAGAGGCCAAAGCCTCCCAACTCTCTGACCCTCAGAATCTCACCCTTCTTGTGTCCTTCCCTTCCCTCACCTTCCACTCCCCCACGGGCCTCTTTAACCTGTGCCAGGGAAACTAGGACAGTGGGTGCCGGAGCTCACCTGGGTCCCCCATCACTAGGGAGAGGAGAGTTGAAGTGGGGGACTGCAGGGAGAGAAGAGGGAAGCAGCTCACTGACACTCTAGTAGGCTCCATTTGTTGTTGTTGTTGTTGTGTGCTGTTGAGTTGGTTCTGGCCCACAGTGACCCTGTATAGGGTTTCCAAGGATGGGCTGGTGAGCTTGAACCTCTGACCTTGCAGTTCAAACCGACTTTGCAGTCCAGCACATTAACCCACAGAGATGCATCAGTGTTCCTTGAGCTCCCCATAATTTGGGACCTCTTCCAGGTGCTAGGAATCCTGTGGTACTATAGAATAAACACTGGACTGCTAACTTTAAGGTTGGCAGTTCAAACCCACCAACTGTTCCCATACACGGTCGCTATGAGTTGGAAACAACTCAGCAGTACTTAACAACTTAACAACAACAACCAAGTGCTAAAGATAGCACTGTAGGATAAACACCGGACTGCTAACCCAAGGGTCGACAGTTCAAACGCATTAGCTGCTCTGCAGGAGGAAGATGAAGCTTCTGATCCTATAAAGACTTAAAGTTTCGGAAACCCTATACAGGGTAGCTATGAGTCAGACCAGATGCTAACCAAAAGAGAGGACCCCTACCCCATTCCTTCTCTCAAACTCCCATGCTAACAGATGAATTCCCAGCCCCCTTATTCTCATCCAACCTACCCTCACCCTATTTGAGCCCAGCCCATAGCTGAAACCTAAGGGGGTCCCAGCTCAGCCCTTCCCAGTGTGGTCCATACAATGTTCCTTGAGTGGACACACCAGACTCCCACGACCTAAAGCAGAAGGCAGGAGGGGGGTGAGGTGGATGGAGTCTGAGGTGGGACAGCATGACTGGTGAGGTCAGACTACAGATGCTGGGAGGGAGATGAGAAGAGGCTCCACAGGTGAGCCTAGAAAGAAGGGTGAAAGGGAGAGCTGCCTACAGAAAGGAATGGACCGGGATGGACTGAAGGTGGAGACAGATTCGGTGGGAGAACACAGCCTAAGGACCCCACTGCCCCATCCTGTGTCCCACAGACAAGAGACCCAGTGGGTCTCTTCCTCAGATGACCTGAAATAGAATGCTTTCCTTTTGGAAATGGCTTCTTCTCTCAACCTTCTAGGCCTTCCATTCCATCCCACTCGGAGCCCACAACGTCTTAGAATAAGCTCTGAACTGGCCAGCAACAGAGTGGCCCTGGGGGTCCTAGAGGTGAGTCCTGAAGCCTTCTGCCAAAGATGGACACCTTCCCCTCCTGCCATCCCAGCTCGGGGCCAAGAGGAGAAGTGACTGAGAGGGTGACCTGAGAGGTTATTCGGTAGACACACAGAAGTCCCCCTCAAGCCAGACATGGGACAGATGGATATTTTCTCAAGGATAAATGGTGGGAGCTGCTTTTTTGGTCTGAGTTTCAGGGGCAGCCACAGTTCTTCTTCCAGAAGTTGAGAAAGGAGAACTCCCTATAGGCAGGCATGCTGGGAAGGGAGCAGCTCCATGCCCAGGAGACTCCATTGAGACACCTAGTGCCCCAGCTTGGTAAAGGAAATGTCACTTCGCCTATTCAAATCCTGCCCACCCTGTGGGCTCCAGCCCAAGTCCATCTCCTAGTGAAGCTCAAGCTGACCTCTCCTAGTAGCATTTACTGTATACAACATCTGGGCACTTTACTAATAATGGCCTCTGAGGTTTCGCTTGTAAGTCATGCCTACCTGTTTGTGACACCTTGCTGGTCACAAGGCAGGCTTGCTTTACGACTGGTCACAAGACCTCTCTCTTAGCCACCTGCCTAGGACACAACATGAATATTTCTCAGTTGGCCTTTCTTAGAATTTTTGCTGGAGGCAGACTCTCCTCCCCAGGACATGGCTGACCACCATCCAGCCTGCTGTTTCTTCTGCAGGACCTGATCCCCCGGGGAAGAGGAGTTTGTTCCTGAACTGGGATCCAGAACCACTGTCAGAGACTTCTGACTGGCATCGGTCCTCTTCCCACTGGGACCAGCCTGAAGGCCAGTCAGCAGCATTCACACCGGAAGCACAGCCAGGTTCTTGCACCTCGCTCCCCTAGTGATTTTGGATGGGGGGTGGGGGGGAGAAACAATGGCCTTGGACTCTAGTAGTGTTTATGGCCAGGCTGAGAGGGGATACTTTGTGATGATGATCTATGATATAAACCGCTCAAAAAAGCCGTGTGTGTGTGTGTGTGTGTGTGTG